AAATGCAGGACCTTGAACTCTTTGTCATTAGTTTAGCAAATGTTTGCTCAGCACGTCTTGCGTGCCAGTCCCTGTGATGGCTTCTGTCCACATGGGAGCCCCAGGCACCATCCTTTGAAAGCTTACGGAGGAGCACAAAGCAGCCCCGTTAACAAGGGGCTTAAAGGGCACAAGCATATGAGCAAATAACTACAAGTCATGGCAGGTGAGGTCAGGGTAAGGAGAAGGGACTTCATGCTGCAGTGCTTGAGAGAGGAATCACGAAGAAAATAGAATTTAAACTGAATTTTGAAGTATAGGTAAGATTTTGAGAGCTGGAGATGAGGATACATGGGGACAGAGAGCATTCCAGTTGAAAAGAACAAAATAATGGTCACTGCCAACGCTTGCTATACTTACCCTACATACCATGTTGGGTGAGACAGGCAATGCACACTTCATGGTGAGCACTTTATGTTTATCCCATTTGAGGAGTAAAGAAACTGAAAGTGGTTGAAATACCTTGCCCCAGGTCACCTAGCTAAATGTGGGGAAGCTGGGATTTCATGAGCTAGTGCCCAAACCCATGCTCTTTGCTCATGGCTGCTGTTTGTTGGTTAAGGAAAGGCATATTTGGAGGGTGGGAAGGGGTCTGGTTTAACCATAGATAAGGGAAAAGTGAAAGATAAACTGGGGGAACATTGTAGACACAGCGCCTGGGATTTAGGGTTTCTTTCTGAAGGTAGGAAGAATCACTGAAGGGTTTTAAACAAAGAATTCAGGGGTTTGAGAGGCACCGTGGCCCCAGTAGAAGCAGTAGGTGGCAGAAGCAGTGGAGGGAGTGTTGCAGTGAAGCTTGGTGCAGCTCCTGCAGGGAGCCGCTACAGGGGGAGAGAGGGACGAGCTCAGGCTAATTAAGTACAGGACACCAAACGTGCAGCTTCCCTTGTGTGTACTGAGTTGATGCTTTGGTAGTGAAAGAAGTTTACCACAAGTACCCAGGTTTGAGTTCTTTAACCTCCAAAGACACTGGCTGTTTTATACGGTAATTTGTTCCCATTTATGGGGCATGGGGGAGGACAAATAGAATTTAGGTTAACTAGCTTAAAGAGTCAAGGCAGGCCAGGTGCAGTGGCTCACGCCTGTGATCTTAGCACTCTGGGAGGCCGAGGTGGGTGGATCGCTTAAGGTCAGGAGTTCGAGACCAGCCTGAGCAAGAGCAAGACCCCATCTCTACTAAAAATAGAAAAATTAACCAGGCATGGTCACTCACACTTGTAATCCCAGCTGCTTGGCAGCTGAGGCAGGAGACTCAGTTGAGCCCAGGAGTTTCAGGTTGCTGTGAGCTAGGGCGATGCCACAGCTCTCTAGCCCAGGCAACAGAGCAAGCCTCTGTCTCTTAATAAAAAAAAAAAAAAAAAAAGAGTCAAGGCAGCGCTACCCAAATTCCTTCTTAAAGATGAAAGGAAACGTGTTTCAGAACACCTTCTACCCAGTTAACAAGACCCCCTCAATGTGTGCCCATCCTAGGGATTGAGGTGCCTACAAAAATTACAAGGGAGGGATTTGTCCTCCTCTTCCCCAGAGAGCTCCCTTGATTTTCCCCACCCCTGCCAAAGATACACATTCATGAATGCAGTCATCCACACACACCAGCCATCCTGTTTTAAAATCAACAAAAGCAAAACTAACCCAGGATGTCTCAGGACACCATAAAGCATAATAATAGATAGAGAAAAGCGATGGTAGGTCCTAGATTTAAGATTCATAAAATGGTAAATTTTCCAGAAATATATCTAACAAAGACAATCATATGGTAGTAAATGTTTAATTTTGCCAAGTAAAGCCGTTCTTTTAAATAAAAGATATCTTTTAAGTTGTGCAAATTTATCTTCATGAAAATCTTACCCCGTGGTCCTTGTTTTTCTCATTTTGTGTTAAACCCATGAAGGTTTCGTAAAGAAGCATCAGTTCCCTTTCTGTACCTTCAAACCGTAGGAAATAGTTAATCAAGTCCCTTGTGGGGTGGAAGAAAGGGCAGCGAAGAACACTGTGCTAAGATGGCACTTCTGTCTCCACCCTAGGTCCACACCCAGGTCTCCTGGGGACACACACACCAGCCTGCCCCCTCCCCTGCCCCACTTTGGCCGCAGGCTTTGTATCTTGATTCTGAAACTTCTGGTAGGTCTGCATGCATGTGACCTACCTGACTGATCATGACTTCAGAGAGCAGTATAAGCCCAAAAAGATTATATACCTTCTAATAAATGACCACGTGGGTGCTGGGCTTTCAAAGATAATATAATCTAGTTTGTGCATGGTCTGTTTTTAAAGTTTTAACATAGAAATTATAGAAAATTAGAACAGACCCTTCAGAGATAATTTAGTCCAACCTCATGTTTTTACAGAAAAAACAATGAAAGCCCAGGGGAATTAGCTGGCTTGCCTCAGGTGCTGGGCCTGACGCTCACGTCTTCCTCCTAATCCGTGGCTCTTTTTGTCATAAAATGGTGCTCCTCCACTCAGTGTTCCTCCAGCAACGTTCTAAATCCCTGTGCTATTGTTGGCCATGAAAACTGTTAACTCTTAAAGCTTTTTTTTATGTGTAGAAGGTGACAAAGCAGAAGGAAAACAGCAAAAAGGAAGTTAACAGAAGAAAAATCAGATAGTGGGCAGGATGCTCAGCGTGAGTGCAGCAGCTACACCCACTTTTGGCATTTATTTCTGAGGTCAGATTGGGTGGAAATACCACAGTATGTCTTCAGACTCTTGTAATCACCTGCTGCTCCCAGCAGAGAATCTGTGTTGCTCACCAAGTTAAACTCAAGTTCAAGGATAGTGAGGGGGTGTAGCCAGGAGCCTCTTGAGTCTTGGGTTCTGTTACATCCTTCCCAAAATGCTTCTGGCAGGTGAGCCATTTCTTATTTGAAGTTCAGTAGCACAAAGCTTGTGTTTCCCAGTCCTACTTGCACATTGAAATTACCTTGAGCTTTGTAATGGGGCCGTTTGAGATTCCTGTTTAATAGTCTAGGGTGAGGCCTGGCATTAGTAATTTTTAAAAACTCCTCAGATGATTCTCTTATGCAGCTAAAATGGGAACCACAGCTTTAAGCTAATGATTTTCAAACTTTAAGTGCCTCAGAGTCACCTGTTAAAACATAGGGCTGGGCTTCACACCCAGAAATTTCTGATTCAGTACATCTGGACTGGGGCCTAGGATTGTGTGTATTTCTAACAAGTTCCTGGGTGGTGGTGATGCTGCTGGTTAGGGCCCACACTTTGAAAACCACAGCTTCGGCTGGGTGTGGTGGCTCACGCCTATAATCCTAGCTAGCACCCAGGGAGGCCGAGGTGGACAGATTGCTCAAGGTCAGACGTTCGAAACCAACCTGAGCAAAAAGCAAGACCCCATCTCTGCTAAAAAGATAGAAAGAAATTAATTGGCCAACTAAAATACATAGAAAAAATTAGCTGGGTATGGTGGCACATACCTGTAGTCCCAGGTACTCAGAAGTCTGAGGCAGAAGGATTGCTTGAGCCCAGGAGTTTAAGGTTGCTGTGAACTAGGCTGGTGCCACGGCACTCTAGCCCTGGCAACACAGTGAGACTCTGTCTCAAAAAAGAAGAAGAAAAAAAAAAAAACACGGCATTAGATTCTCAAAGAGGTCTGAGATCCAGGACTCTGGGGCCCCATCTTGATGATGATTCAATCCCAGAGTTTTAGATTCTGAAGGTGTAGGGTAGACTCAAGAATGTGCATTTCTTAAAAGTTCCTGTATGGGGCCGGACACAGTGGCTCACAGGGTCACACCTATAATCCTAGCACTCTGGGAGGCTGAGGCAGGAGGATTGCTTGAGCCCAGGAGTTTGAGGTTGCAGTGAGCTATGGTGACACCACTGCATGCTAACTAGGGTGACAGAGTGAGACCCTGTCTCAAAAAAAATAAAAAAAATAAGGTTCTTGTATGGTACTGCTGCTGGACTGGGAGCACACTTTGAGAGCCAGTGGCCAGTTCCTCATGCCGGGCACTGGGATGAGATCAGGCAGAAGGCAGGTCACCTCAGATTTCTCCCCAGCTGTCACCATTTGGTCACCAGGAAACTTGAGGTGGCCCTAGGATTCAGAAGGAATCTGAAGAGGAGCGATGAACCACGCTTTACATAGACAAAGCATAGCATCTCATAGGTTTGTGTCTGGAAACATGGAGGTGCTCAAAGTGGTCATACTAAATTTTCTGTCTCGACTGTTAGAGTGGGTGGGTCCTCAGGTCTCGTCTAGGTCATTCGTTCTTATTGCGTGCCAATGAGGAAACAGGCCTCTTCAGTGACAACTGGGGATCAGTGCAGGGCTGTAACGGAGAGCTCCCCACCCCAGTTCTGGGGTTCTCTCTGTGACACCACGGTGCCTACTGTGCTGAATTCCGGGGCATGAGCATGATTTCTGGTCTGCTGAAGTCTGACTCATGGATCCAGATGATGGTACAGCAATGGGAAATAATGAAGAAGGTGAAGTTGGACTAAATCTCCCTAGGGCCTACAGCAGTGGGTTCTCCAAGTTCAGTCCCCAAACCTACTGAGCCAGAAACACCCCCAGCGATCCGTGTTCTAACGTGCCCTTCAGGTGACTCAGATGGTGCACACTCAAGTTTGGGGAGCTCTGGCTTAGGGAGAGTGGCCGGAGACTGTGGGGGGGCAGGACAGGGAACCTGTCATTGGATGGGTCTGGGCACTTAGGACCAAGGAGTGACAGGCTGTGGATTCTGCAAGAGGCAGCATGGTAAAGGAGGGTCTGCAGAGGCAGCAGCCTGGGAGTCACTCCCACTTAATCTGTCCCAGTGCCACCTCTCATGAAATGGAGGCTCAAGTCATTAAGACTTTCCCTTTGTTCACACTTCCCTACGGTTTTGTTTTTTTTTCTCAGAGCAAAAATTTTCACAGATTCTGCAACTAATGACATTTAATTGAAGAGGGCTTTACATGGTTCTGGTATTGCTGGTGACTGGCTTTTTCCTCTTTTCCAGTTAGTAACAGGAGTATGGGAAGGCCAATACAACTTCTTCTGTCAGGGCACACGCAGTGCAGGAGAATCAGATATGAAGGTACGGTCTCTCTTTTAAAACATTTATCTATTTATTATAGGTGTTGATTTTTTACATAAAGAAATGGTACAAAAGACAAAATGTCCCATAACCTCACTGCCCAAGGTGGTAATTCCTGTGACATTTTAAAAAGAATAAAAAGACAATATGTATACCTGGTATGAAAATTTGAACACCATGAAAGGTATAAAGTGAAAACTAAAGCATCCCTCTCTGCATAAATAACACCTGTTAACAATGGGCAGGAAAAAAATACATGCATTTATGAATATTTATATTATATTTACATAAATGGGATCATAAGGGTAACGTCTTAAATTTTTAAAATCATTCCTCCAAGTGTGATCTGAGTAGTGTTAAAGATAGAATCCATTTTCCACTCTGAGATTCTTTTTATTTTTTAATTATTTATTACATCAGAGGCTGATAGTGGACGCTCAGCATGGACAGTCATTTCCCTAGAGCACCTGTTTGACTGACTTAATTGAGCAGGGACCTCACACTGCAAGTTCTGATTCCTTCTGAGCCTCATGTCAGGTCACCTGCCCCATGTCAGCCACTGAAATCAAAAGCATTTTTCAAGTGGCTTTGGGAATAGGCAGGCTGCAAGGTTTTGAATCCTGAGCCTTCTGTTTTTATTAGTCTTGAAGGTTATCAGGGGCCCCTTTAAAACTTTCCCTGTTGGCCGGGCGCGCTGGCTCACGCCTGTAATCCTAGCACTCTGGGAGGCCGAGGCAGGCGGATTGCTCGAGGTCAGGAGTTCAAAACCAGCCTGAGCAAGAGCGAGACCCCGTCTCTACTATAAATAGAAAGAAATTAATTGGCCAACTACTATATATACAAAAAATTAGCCGGGTATGGTGGCGCATGCCTATAGTCCCAGCTACTCGGGAGGCTGAGGCAGAAGGAGTTTGAGGTTGCTGTGAGCTATGCTGACGCCACGGCACTCACTCTAGCCGGGGCAACAGAGTGAGACTCTGTCTCAAAAAAAAAAAAAAAAAACTTTCCCTGTTGTCATTTCATACCCATCCCCCTGTCCCACCCCAGTCACATTCTCAGATTAAAGGTACCCTTAGAGAGTGATCAGAGCTGCCGATGTTCAGACCCAGAGGGGCGCTCAGGCTTTTGCAGGTTGACACTGGATTCTGGAATGTTAGCAAAACATGCCAGAGGAGAGATGTTCCAGACAAACATCAAGGATAAGCCTTAACTCTTTGACCCCTTCCTCTTAGATTATCCGTGTCCTCTGGTGGTACTACTTCTCCAAACTGATAGAATTTATGGACACCTTCTTCTTCATCCTGCGTAAGAACAATCACCAGATCACGGTCCTGCACGTCTACCACCACGCCTCTATGCTGAACATCTGGTGGTTTGTGATGAACTGGGTCCCCTGCGGCCACTGTAAGTATTAGAGAGAGGAAGGGTCTTTGGGAATAGGTGTGAACAGGGAGGCCGAGTTGAAACTGAGGCTTTCAGAAAAGGTGCTGTTTCTGTAGATTTCTAGGTCAAGCTTTTGAGCTTTGTGTCCAAGTTGCTTCTAATGATAGTTTGCCTGGCCTGTATACACAAAACCTTTTTCTAGTCAAGTAAACATTCCGTGCTGATTGGGCAAGATGAGGGAGATACCAGCCAGGGTCATATTAAGAAATGAGTCTTGCTTTATAAAGCCCAGGGTCTGGGAAGAAAAAAAAAAAAAAAGAAATGGGGACAGTGTTCTCTGTCACAGAGGGCAGCTATTCCAGGTTCTTTCTAATCCTCGTTTCTCTATGATGTAGAAGGTGTTTGCCTGACAGGGGTAGGCCATGAGATGGAATGCCATGGTCAGCTGAGTACCAGGGGACGAGGCTGACTGAAAGACAGCTTTCACTGAGTTGTGCCTTGGGAACTCTCTGCATATTCTAATGACCCTCTTGTTCCATGAAGCATGGTTTTCAGAGTGTCTCCTATGACAAGCACCAAAACTTGTGGTCAAAAGCCTCTTATAATTTTGTAGATTAAGTTGTCACCTTCAGGTTCAGCTTGGGAGTTTGTTTTTTTATTGTTGTTCTTGTTGTTGTCGTTTTTGTTGTTTTTGTAGGGGTCACCTGGATCTGAACCAGGGAGCTTGGGAGTTTTAACAAATGTCTCAATCAAAACTCTTATCTCAACATTGAAGGATGTGAGAACCTTTGGGTCTATTCATAGATGTTTTTCCCCTGTGATAGCACTGCCTGCCCTCCATTACCTCAGCCCACCAAGATTCACAGAGTCATGGAATTCTAGAACTAGGAAAAAACTTTCCAAATACAGCTCCTTTGGGTTTTGGAGGAAACTGAGGCCCCCCAGAAATGTCGGTAGAGCTCAGGCCTCTGTGCTCCGTCCCTTCCTCCCTCCATCACAGCTCATGACTGTGGATTAGCCAACCTAACTTTCTAATAGAAACAGCCCCTTCTTGCATTTGAAGGGTGCTTTGAGTTCTCAAGGAACTTGCAGGATGACTGACTTTAGCCCCACCCAGCCCATGAGAAACTGAATCAGAGTTGAAATGACTTGCCCAAAGTCACGTGGCCAGTTACTGCATAGCCAGGAGTAGAAACTTCCCTGGCACCAGCCTTGTGCAACTCTGACCCCTTAGGCTGCACAGGGAAAGCCAGAGAGCTGTGTTTGGTTGCTGACTGTCAGGGAGGAAGACAGAGGGTTTTAAAAAAAAAAAAAAAAATCATGTGCTAAAATGGAACTTTTATCCCTAAAGAACTGGACTCTGGATCCTATTATTAATAAAAATGTATGACCTCAGCACTGCAATCCTAGGGAATAATCAGAAGGTGACTTCAGAGGCCTCTCCAAATCTCAGCAGATGTGTAGGAACAGCCAGCTTTGAGCGTGTTGCCTACCAGCTGTCTTCTCTAGCACTCAGAGCAGCATATCTGAGATAGTTGTGCGTGTAAAGAAAAGCAGCTGCCCCTGGGAGTTGATAGGGGTCTGGCAGCAAAACCCCCACAGGTGCCGACGCAGGGCAGGTGGTGTCAGGGCTCCTGTGTCAGATGCCCACCTGCCAGCCACAGCAGAGCCCTGGGCTCAAAGCATCCTGATGGCCGCCTGCCCAGGTGGAAGTTGAATCCTCATTGGACGTCCATGCAGTGCTTGCTGCTGCAGTGTTTGCCAGCCCCTGTCGGAGAGCATCTCTTTCTTCTGATTCAGAAAGAATCTAGGATATTTTCTGCCACCTGTTATGTGTAAAACACTGACGCATCTTCCTTCCCAAATCTCCGTTCCTGCAGCCTATTTTGGTGCCACACTTAACAGCTTCATCCACGTCCTCATGTACTCGTACTACGGTCTGTCTTCGGTCCCTTCCATGCGTCCATACCTGTGGTGGAAGAAGTACATCACTCAGGGACAGCTGGTGAGTGACTCAGCCTCTTTTCCCGGGACTTGCTCCCTGCAGACACAGACCTCTTCCTTGCTTTGTTGTCATTTAATAGCATCTAAGATGTCCCTTTCCCGCCCTTTCTCATTTGATCCTGTTATACTCCTTGAACTAGGCAGATCAGGGAATTTTCTTATTTTTAACTGATGATGATACTGTGCCTAGGGGCATATGTAGCTAGTTGAATTGTAGAAAGTGTACTAGAATCTAATTTCCTGACTTCAAGTTCAGGTCTTTGTTGTTAGTTTGTGCACATAAGCACCTGTGCGTGTGTATGTATATACATGGGTGTCCTAATTAGAGTCCATAATCCATGGTGGACACTGCTTATCTGTGTCCCAGGAGTTTCAGAAGGGGCTGTGGAGTAGCAGGTGTCTGAGGTACCTGTAGTCTACTAGGCAGCGAGAATATTTGCCCAGGCAGGTGCTGGGTGACCCCCCCCCCCCCCCCCGGCTTTATGTAATGGAGCATCTGTTGGTGACAGTGACTCCTGCTCTGCTTCAGATGACAGCCTCCTCCCACAGTTCACTGTGCCAGGGCCAGACCACTGTCCACCTAATCGTTATTTCTTACCATCCTTTCTTAAGCCTTCCCCGGTTGTCAGTAGACACCAGTTCCTCTTCCCTTGTGAATTCTTTCATTAAGCAGTTATTAAACTACTGGAGCTCATGTTAAATACTGATTTTATTAAGTGTTTACCACATGTCAGGCACTTATGCTAAGTAAGCAGTTTTATGTGGATTATTCAAGTATCCTGATCTCATGATATTGTCCATAGTTTATACATGAGGACACTCGGGCAGTAGGCCAGAACTAGCTGACTGACAGATACAACGTTAAAACCTTAGCCCTGGCCTCATCAACATGGTTTTCTAAACAAACCAAGCTGATTCAGATCCCTCTATGTGAATTGTACATTTTCAATATTTAAAAATAACGATCTGAAGAAAAGATCTGAGAAAATCTTCTGAGCTACCTACGTGTTTGACATTTCATTATCACCTCTCTGTCAGCTGCTGTATAGGCCTTGTTAATTTTTTCTCACCCACCTGTGAGGAAGGAAAATTGTTCTTTAACCTCCTTGTTATACTTGAGAAATGAGGCAGAGATCGATTTATACCACACGGTTGTGGCTCAGGCACAAGGAGAATTTAAAGGAACAGACTGGAGATGTATGTCTCCTATTAGGCCCTGTATTTTGAGGTAGAAGATGACCAGTTTGTCAGGATTTGTTTTAAGCACCACTCCTTGTTAGTCCTCAACCTAGAGTACTAATTTTAAAAAAGAAAAGAATAAAAGCTGGGTGTGGTGGCTCAGACCTGTAGTCCCAGCTACTGGGGAGGCAGGAGCATGGCTTGAACCCAGGAGTTTAGGTCCAGCCATAGATAGTGAGACCCCGTCTCAAAAAAAAAAAAAAAGGAAAAGAAGAAGAAATACTCTAAAGAAACCACTGGAGCTGCCAGAAAGAGAATGGGCAGAACCCAGCCCTCTGTTGTTGCTCTTCCTGAAGATGCAAATCTCCAGTGGCCACACCTTTCCTTTAGCACCTTTTCACTGTTTCTCCAAGCAGTTCACATGTTTTTCTTCTTTCTTTCCTCCTCTCCCTCTCCCTGTCCCTCTCTCTCTCTTTCCCTTTCTCCCTCCCTCCCTTCTTTCCTTCCCTCCTTCCTTCCTTCCCATTGATTCATAAGACAGAATTCTGTCCTGTGAACTTTTTTTAATTTCAGAGTATTACTGGGGTACAAACATTTTGATTAAATTGTTCACGTGCTTTTCAAAGTTTATTCATCAGGAACACTCTAAGGACTTCGCATTCTTTGCCAGTAGTAGTTTAAATCTACTCATCAGCCTTCACCACACCGAAAGAGTGCCTGGATGACTAATGAGTAGGGAGAGTGTCCAGACAGATTGTACATCCTGCAGTGAGGTCACCAGTTTCCTGTAAACATACACCCCTCACCTTTCCTTCCTCTCTTAAAAAAAAAGCCAAAAACCATGTATCTCTCTATAGTGTGTACTTGAATTTTAGAGAAGCAAGTTTAAGTGTCTTGGATGGGAGGGGAAGAATATATATAAGACAAACACACAGGGTTTAGGATAAATGAAGTGTACGCATTGTGTTTATGGAATCACCGGCTGTCCCTCCAGGGAGGTAGGTAAGTGCTAATTGAGAAACCTGGGGGATGCTGGGTAAAAAGTCCATCTGACGCGGGGCCTCGTCTGTGCACTGTCCCTGCTCAGCTATGTCCCCATTCTCCCCCTAGCTTCAGTTCGTGCTGACAATCATCCAGACCACCTGCGGGGTCATCTGGCCGTGTACCTTCCCTCTTGGTTGGTTGTATTTCCAGATCGGATACATGATTTCCCTGATTGCTCTCTTCACAAACTTCTACATACAGGTAAATCTCACCCTTCCCTGGTACTTGGTGTTTGGAGCCTTTACCAGCAAAGGCCCTCGTCTGTTTGTTTAACAGGGACCTGGTGGCACTCCTGCTGGTGCCCAGCACTGTGCTCTAACGGAGTCACAGTGACAAGGGCGGCCCTGCCTGTGGGGTGCTCACAACTAACTAGCAGACACTAAAATCTGCTCTAGATCCTGGGCAAGGCAGCCTTTGGGATTCACGTGGGGAATGCAGAACTGTTCAGTCGGATCTTGTAATGCTTCTCTCAGCCCTGCTACCCGGAATGTTGGTGCTAAATGAAATTTCAGAAGAAATTTCCATCCCAGTCCTTATATACAAGACTTGCCTTTCTGATCCAGTTTTCTTACACATTTACTGCTTAGGTTTGAGGATTCAGCTCATTCCCAAGCATACGATATGATGATGTAGGTCTCTGCTCACAGAAAAGTCCACGTAAGGCAGATTTTTTCTGGTGGGGCCTGACCACTTTGCACCCACTGCTGATCCTCCTGCCACCTGTCACCCTTGGGTAACATGAGCTCCTGCTTTTGTGGCAGTGCCTGGTAGCCATACTGCCCTCAGATATGGGGACGACACGGGGGTTAGGAGCAAGAGCAAAGGCCAGGAGTCCTAGCTTAGCTACTTTTCTTCCTTGTGGTCACCTGCACTGGTGTGTGGCGTGTTGAATTTGCATTGAGGTCGCATACCGCTGGGCTTAGTAGTTTATGACTGCACTGTGGAACGTACACCAGGAAGGTGAATGGCTAGGACCCGGTAAAGCTGGAACCACGCTTATTCCAACTGCTTATAGCAGCGTAGCACTTTGTACGTGAGGGCTGAAATCATCACTCAGGCAAAGAGGAAATTTTGAAGATGAACAAGGGATTTGAGTGTCAAGAGAGCTTCTGTCAGGTGGGAGACCAGTGTGGCCACATAACCCCTGTCCTCTGCCATCTAGATACTAAAAAGGCAGAATAAAGTTTAAATTGAAGTTTCTACACAGTGTTTTAAATAGTATTTCTGTAGCCACCTACCATTCAATGAATTTACCTAAGGCTAAGCCTCAAAAATGTGGAAGAGTGTTTGCAACCATTGGCAAAAAATTGGATTATGGTTACTTGACCAGAGAAGTTTCTTCTTGATAAGATTTGATCATAAAAGGAAATGAAACCTAATGTTAGGGATGTGATTCCCAGTAAAGCTGCCCGGAGGAAACGCTGCCTCTTGGTCACGTGGCTATCATCTGCCCTTGTGCATTTCAGACCTACAACAGGAAGGGGGCCTCCCGGAGGAAAGACCACCTGAAAGACCACCAGAATGGGTCTGTGGCTGCTGCGAACGGACACACCAACAGCTTTTCTTTCCTGGAAAACAATGTGAAGCCAAGGAAGCCACGGAAGGATTGAAGTCAGGGAGTTGAAAACCTCCAAACCACGTCATCTGATTGTAAGCACAATATGAGTTGTGCCCAATGCTCGTTAACAGCTGCTGTAACTAGTCCAGCCTACAATAGTGTGACTCATGTAGGACCCCTTTCATCAGTTCAAAACCCCTAGAAAATGTATACAGATTATACAAGTAGGTTAAGATTTCTAACATTTCTGGGCTTTCATCAACCCCCTGCGCTAGACTGTGGAAAGGGAGTATTGTTGTAGTATACAACACTGCTGTTGCCTTATTAGTTATAACATGATAGGTGCTGAATTGTGATTCACAATTTAAAAACACTGTAATCCAAACTTTTTTTTTTTTTTTTACTGTAGATCATGCATGTGATTGTAAATGTAAATTTGTACAATGTTGTTACGGTAGAGAAACACACATGCCTTAAAATTTAAAAAGCAGGGCCCAAAGCTTATTAATTTAAATTAGGGTATGTTTCAAGTTTGTATTCATTTGTGAGAACTCTGTTTAGGAAAATCAAAGACCGTGATTTATGAAACTAGCGTGTGACATACAATTTCAAGTGACTTGTAGATGTGAAATCAGAAACGGCACCTTCAGTTTTGTAATATTGGCTTTGAATCAGGCAGACTCAAATCTAGTGGAACAGTCAGTTTAACTTTTTAACAGATCTTATTTTTTTATTTTGAGTGCCACTATTAATAATGTAAAAAAGGGGAGAGGGCTCTAAAAGCAGTCTTGATGAAACTTAAATATATATTCTTTGTCCTCAAGATTTTAGGAAGAGTGTAGGGTGAATAGGCCATTTTTAATTTCTGAAGTGCTAAGTGTTTTTATACAGAAAACAAAAAGTCCATTTTGCTTTCCCCAGTGTGAGAGAGATGTATACTTTTCAAGAGAGATTGAATACTTACTGTTTGACAGTGTCCCATAGATGAACAATGGGGAACTGGTTGCTGGGGTCCAAATTTGAATTGATTTCTGTACTGCTATCTGTTTTGACACAAACTTCCTTTTAAAATGTGCCTAGATTACCAAAATTAACAAAGGAGGGTGGAAGGGAAGGACCTTAACAAAATTTAAGGTAAAATTAAACAGCTACAGCATAAGAGAACTGGGAAATTGGATAGAGATAACTTGTTTCATGTAAATCTAATAGTACCTGTAATTTTTTTTTCTGCCTAGAATCTAAAGATTTGTTTAGAACTTCTTATTTTAAAAATAATAGACTACAGACTGCTTATCATAAAATCATGTCTCTCACATTTGAGGCAGTGGTCAAACAGATGTGGACTATTATGTGTGTCATTTTAAAGTGTTGGAATTTAGCCTCTGAATACCTTCTCCGTTGGGGAAAAAACACATTCATTGAACCACTCGTGACACATCTTAGAAGGTCGTTGACAATGTATAAACTAATTGTTGGTTTGATATTTATGTAAATACCAGTTTACCATGCTTTAATTTTGCACATTCATATTATAGGGAGCCAATTGGTTCTCTTATTAGCCTTGTGGGTTTTCTGTTTGAAAGGAGTCATGACATCTGTTTACATTTACCTTATCAAACCTAGAATGTGTATATTTATAAATGTATGTCTTCATTCCTAGGTACTAATTTGCAGATGTCTTTACATATTTCAATACAGAAACTGTAACATTCGATAGTGTGCTGTCAAAGTGTGCTTAGCTCATCTGGATATACCCACACTGTTAAATAATGTCTAAACATTAATCATTAAAACATTTTTGATTACCTGTGCTTGCGTTTTACATTGTGTATGTGTTCCTAATTCTGAAAGACGAGAAAAATCCACTTTCTTCACCCTTTGGGAACTTACCCAAATATATGTAAATAACTGTTTGGAAGATTGTCTTGTTTCTGAGCACATAAGGAAGTTCACAGAAGGCGTGGTGGTAGTTGCACCCTAATACTTTCCTCTCTGCCTCCTCCAGGTGCCCCCACTAAAGGTCCAAGCTCTAAGCACACTCCTTTATCCTTCCTCCATTGGTCCCACCTCTCCTTTCACCCCCCAGGTTGTTACTGTCCTCTGTCTAGACCATAGGTCTGAGAATTTTTTCAGATAGAAAATATTTCAGGCTTGATAGGCCATATGGCCTCTGTTGCAGCTACTCAGCTATGCCACTGTAGAGCACAAAAGCAGTCAGAGACAAGCATGAAAATATCTTTTTTTATTTTTATTTATTTATTTATTTTTATTTTTTTTTTTTGAGACAGAGTCTCACTTTGTTGCCCAGGCTAGAGTGAGTGCCGTGGCATCAGCCTAGCTCACAGCAACCTCAAACTCTTGGCTCAAGCAATCCTCCTGCCTCAGCCTCCCGAGTAGCTGGGACTACAGGCATTCGCCACCATGCCCGGCTAATTTTTTGTATATATTAGTTGGCCAATTAATTTCTTTGTATTTATAGTAGAGACGGGGTCTTGCTCTTGCTCAGGCTGGTTTCGAACTCCTGACCTTGAGCAATCCGCCCGCCTCGGCCTCCCAGAGAGCTAGGATTACAGGCGTGAGCCACCGCGCCCGGCTTATTTATTTTTTTGAGACAGAGTCTCACTTTATTGCCCAGGCTGGAGTGAGTGCCGTGGCATCAGCCTAGCTCACAGCAACCTCAATCTCCTGGACTCAAGCAATCCTCCTGCCTCAGCCTCCCGAGTAGCTGGGACTACAGGCATGCGCCACCATGCCCGGCTAATTTTTTTGTATATATATTTTTAGTTGGTCAATTAATTTCTTTCTATTTTCGGTAGAGACGGGGTCTCGCTCAGGCTGGTTTCGAAGAAAATATCTTAATAAAACTTTATTTACAAAACAGAAGGCCTATGGCCATAGTTTTGCTGACTTCTACTCTAGAGTAATGAAGTCCCCTCTTGGGCCCAGAGCTCCGTAATTTTCTTTGCCAAAGATCATTTCATGCCCCAGATCAGGGCCCCTCTCAGCCTATCCCCCAGTCTGGTTGACTTCAGCAGGTCTGTCCATGTCCACAAAGAGGGATGGATGACACGAATGGCCTGTCTTCCTTCCATCTGTTTCATTCCACGTTGTTCCCAGTATAGGCTCAATCTTGGCTCTTGGGTGCCTTTTAGTTTGTCAGTACCTCCTTAAAAATGTCACCTGAAACTGCATTTAGTATTTGGGATATTTTCCAAAAGGTGCAAAAGGATTGTTGCGGCATTGGTGGTAATAATTATTTATTTCCCTGTCTTTCCCCTCTAAGTCTAGAATAAATTAAAAACATAAGACACAGAAATCAGACCCGTGGAAACGAAAATAGCACACCTCTTAACTGAGAAGACTGGATTGATGAAATTGATACCATGATACGGCTGGCTAATTATTTACCCTGTCTAGTAACCCTGTTGACCTAAACTTAGGACTGGCACTAGCACACTAATGGTTGCCCTGATTGTTGGTCTGGTGATGAACTGGTTATTAAAATATTTTGAATATCAGCCCTGGAATTTACCTACCTTAAACGATAATCTCCCTTTGCAGAGGCAAATTCTGCCCTCATAACCTTTACCTTGCCAAGAAAGTATGCTCAGTTGCATCTCCCAATCTCAGCAAAGTCTCCCTCCTCGCCTCAGAGGAGTGAGTGGGGAAGAGGGCAGAGTGAGGCCATATGTGTTCCTGCTCTTTTCTCATTCCTATACAGAAAAGGGAGGATTCCCATTTCCCCTGTTTTTAGCAGCCTGGCTATTCATATGAAAGGGCAGTGTAGCCTAACAGGAGAAGCACAACTTGGGGACCACATTGCCCAGGTTGAAATTCTAACCATGTAACCTTTGGGAAAATTGCTTTAACCTTGCCTCAGTTTTCTCATCTGCCAAATGGGAATAATGTTAGTCCCTATGTTATAGAGTCATTATGAGGATTAAGTAGATTACTAACTATACCATATATATGAAGCCCTTGGAACCACATCTAACATAAACTATAAGTGGTAACTGCTACCTTTAAGATTGTGATCTAGGCCGGGCAGGTGGCTCACGCCTATAATCCTAGCACTCTGAGAGGCCGAGGCGGGCAGATCGCTCGAGGTCAGGAGTTCAAAACCAGCCTGAGCAAGAGTGAGACCCCGTCTCTACTATAAATAGAAAGAAAGAAATTGGCCAACTAATATATATAGAAAAAATTAGCCGGAATGTGGCATGCCGTAGTCCCAGCTACTCGGGAGGCTGAGGCAGCAGGATTCTTGGCCCAGGAGTTTGAGTTCTGTAGTAGGCAGACGCCATGGCACTCACTCTAACCTGGGCAACAAAGCGAGACTCTGTCTCAAAAAAAAAAAAAGATTGTGATCTGCTCTACCCACTCCACTTGTTTCTTTCAACTATAAGATGATGTTTTGCTGTTATTTCCCTGGTTGGCTGCTCCAGTAATCCAAAAAAGCGAGAAGGAAGTTAGTTTGCTGTGACATTTTCTTTGTTGAATCAGAGTTGAAAAGAAATCACCAATTCTTAGGAGTCAAAATGTTATATTCCCAATTTTGGCAGAGTTTGACATTAAATTCACCATTCTGGAATTTTTAGAATCTACTTTATTCCTCCTTTGGAAAATAGGGCAGTGAAATTTTTGTTTTGTTTTGAGATACATGTTGCCCAGACTGGAGTGCAGTGGCGTGATCATAGCTCACTGCAACCTTCTACTTCCAGCCTCAAGTGATCCTCCCAACTCGGCCTCCCAAAGCGCTGGGATTACAGGCATGAGCCACGGCGCCTAGCCACGCTACACCCTTAATTTGAAGATTTTTGTCCTCAGCGGAACAAGTGGAGCAAAACGGTCATTACCATAGTTTGTTTGCCCTATGCTCTTCAGCATTGCACCATCGACCATTAGATCTTGTTCCAGACATACATTTAAAACCCATTTTTGTCATCCTTGACATTTTTGTGATCTTTATCTTCTATCTTTCCCCAATATGATTATGGCACTCACCTAAATGGAAGAAGTTGCCGGGCCAATTTTTGCCATAGTTTGCATAGGATGTCTGGACTTGGCCCTCGGTCTAAGTTCATAGAAGACTCCAGGTAAAGTTGTAGGACAAGCAGTGGGGGATCCATGAACATGTTGGTGGCAGAGAGCCAATCAATGGTTGTCAGAGACTGAATTAGGTGTACTGAGCTAACAGGGATCGGTGAGATGACTTCAGTCCCAAAGAACCTTTTGCTAGATTGGATCAAACATACACGCCTAGGATGGTTTATGGGGTCTGCCATGAGATTGACATAAACAGCTAATGTGAGAGTCCAGGGAGGGAGAATCTTCCAGCCACGGTGAGTAAAAAATCTCTGGAGAAGTTGGCTTTTAATCTGACGCAGGACCATCTGGAGCCAGACCATAGCTCACTCTTGTAATCCCAGCACTTCGGGGCCCAATGCAGAAGATTGCTGAGCGCTGGAGTTTAAGACCAGCCTGGACCCTATCTCTGCAAAAAAAAAATTTTTTTTAATTAGCTGGCTAGTGCAGACCCTGTAGTCCACCTACTCTGGAAGTTGAGGTACCAAGGGTCATTTACCCAGGAGTTGAGGATTACAGGTGAGCTATGAGGATACCACTTGCGCTCCAGCCTGGACAACACAGCAAGACCCTGTCTCAAAATAAAAAAAAAAAAAAAAGACCATCTGGGTTCGATAAGTAGAGACTGAAGGGAGACAGCATTCCTCATACAGGAGCCAGTGTGAGCAAGTGTGCGGAAGGCTGAGACAGGAAAATAACACATTGCACTGAATGGATATGTGGGCGAAACTGCTTGTTTTAAAAATGAGGCAAAGTGGGAAGAGAGTGGAATTTGTCTTGCTGTTCTCATTAATGAAATGTGTAGAGTCTTGCTCCGAGTTCCCAGGGGAAGCAGAGCCATTCTGGCCGTGCCTCCTGTGGCTGGCTGCTGCCCCTGCCCTCCTGCTCGCCTCACCAGCTAGGGCCAAGGAGGAGCGGGATCAGGTACTGACAGGAACTGGGACTCAGTGGGTCTCTGTTACAAAGTGACGAGGTCTGCTATCAGATAGGGCAGATGCAATGGGGGCCTCAGCTCTTCTCCAGGAAATTCCCCTCACCAGAGTCATGGATGGCATTTGCAGTCTGAAATTTTGGGGTACCTGATTAGGAAGGAGTCGTGGGTGGAATCCTCTGTTGGCTGGGAAACAAAAAATTCTTAAGCGATCATATCCACGTGTGTTACTGCTGGCATTCTTTCTTCAAATAATAGGGATACACACATCCCTTGATTGATGAATTGGACAATATATATATATATATATATATTTTGAGACAGAGTCTTGCTTTGTTGCCCAGGCTAGATTGAGTGCCATGGTGTCAGCCTAGCTCACAGCAACCTCAAACTCCTGGGCTCAAGCGATCCTCCTTCTTCAGCCTCCCGAGTAGCTGGGACTACAGGCATGCGCCAGCATGCCCAGCTAATTTTTTGTATATATTTTTAGTTGGTCAATTAACTTCTTTCCATTTATAGTAGAGATGGGGTCTCATCTTGCTCAGGCTGGTTTCGAACTCCTGACCTCGAGCAATCTACCCACCTCGGCCTCCCAGAGTGCTAGGATTACAGGTGTGAGCCACCGTGCCCAGCCGAATTGGACAATATTTTAACCGAGCTGGCACTTTTCAGCAAATGGGGTGCCTTCCCCATGGCAGGGTTCCCAGTGGAACAGGTGTCTGTTGTTCGTTTGTTTGTTTGTTGAGACAGAGTCTCGCTTTGTTGCCCAGGCTAGAGTGAGTGCCGTGGCGTCAGCCT